GCCGGAGCAGAACATCGAGACACCGAGGAAGAGGCCGCGGCGTGGGCCGTTGCGCTCGAGCCACGGGCCAAGGACCGCGGCCGTGCTGCCGAGGAGACCGCACGCCATGTAGAAGGTGTAGACGGCCTTCCCGGCCTTCGGGTCGTCGTAGATGTACGTGTCGATCGGGACGTTGTAGATGGACCACGAGTAGAGCGAGCCGCAGCAGAATTGGCAGAGGAACGACGCGGCGAAGAGGTACCAGCGGTTGAACGGGATCGACTTGACCGTGAGGAACCGGTTGCCCCAGAGCGGGATGCAGATGAGGTATTTTTCGGCCTCGATTTCCTCTGGCGTCTTTGCCGGCGGCTCGACCGTCCAGTGACGCTGGAAGCATGCCGTGATCGCCGAGCTCATGGTGCTGGATGGTGCGCAGAAGGAAGCCAAAAACAAAATGAGCGTTGGTGTTGAGTTGGCTCGTCCTAGTGGACCAGAACGCACAAGTTCGATGCGTCTGACGACGCTCACCATGCGCTCGACCGTAACTTCAACGTGGCCGGCTCCAACGCAACACCCGCGCCAACCAAGATACTCGCGACAGACACCCCTGTTGGTAGAGAATGCCCCTGCCTTTCAGCTTCCTTTTCAACGTTTGGCGGATATTCCCTCAAAACACACAGAACACTTTGTAGATGAAAGAGTTTCGCCATAGTACCTTGTGGGCGCGCGTCGTCTTCCATTTCCATCGGTGGGAGGAAGCGCGTAACGATGCGCGCGCCCTAAGTAGCGCAGTGTCTGCCGCATGACGACTGCGTGGTGGTCGAGAGAGGTGGTGCAAGAACACCTGGCGGCGGGGCTGGTCGAAGCTTCGATTCAACGCAAGAAGCGCTGGGTTCAAGGTTATGGCGATTCGAACCATCCGTGACGCGCAGCTCCGTTCTGCAAGATCTTTTTTAACAAAGCGCCGCGGAAGCACAGAGCGAGAGGACGGGGCTGCAACGGGACACGCATCTCGCAAGACGAGCGAGGGACGTGCACAAGAGTTGGATGGTTCGCTGGATTGATTTGAACGCGCATATCGACGTATCGACGTTTCAAATCCTACGTGGCACGATCTCGTGCTCTCTTCGCTCAAGTTGCCGCGTTCTCGACGTCGATCGGCACGCACGTGGCGGGTCGTGCGCGGGACCGTTGTTTTGGCGTTGCATCGACGCCTCTTGGCGACGGCAGCATCGAGAAGGCCACGTACATGGCGAGTTTGCGCGTGCCGGGCTCGCGGTTGAGCCCGCCTTCGAGTCGAATGTGGCCGTGCTCGCCCCAGTTGGCGCCCCACGCGTTTCGGACCTTGAAGAAGCCGACCGACGTGGTGCCATCGTCGACGGACTCGGTGCCGTAGCCAACGACAAGCCTTGCCCGGTCGACGTGCACGGTTTGGGGACATCACGAGATTGATGCCACCCATATGTTCATCTTCTACACGGGGTTGAGCGTCGTGACGTCGGCGATGACGAGATGACGCTCAAGAACGCCAAGCACGCGAAACCGAGTGCCGAAGCGCAGGCCGTGTAAGGCGAGCGACGGACGTGTACGCTTCTATCGCCCGTCGGTGTTGACATGGTGTGCACTACACGTGCAGAGAGCAGTCGCTTGTTCCGAATCTATCATTTAGCGCACCACTAGTGTCTTCCTTGGCACTACATTTCTACGACTCAAGTGATTTGCGCAGGACACTCTTGCATTCTCAAGTCATTAAAAATTGTTCGCGTCCATCCCTAGCTGCTCCGTTTCAAGTCGTTCACACGGGTTGTCAACGTCGTCTAGCGTGGGTAGCCAGGCCCAAGGAGCTCGGTGGGTTCGTGCCATCGCAGCAGCAGCAGCTGGAACCCATTTGTTTGATTTTACAAAGCGTACAAAAGCGATGCCAAAATCTCGCCACGTTCGGCGAGAGGCAGTGGCCAGTGTGCAACGTTCGATGAAATCGCCCAACCACGACCCAGCGCCGCGCGTCCACAGCCTCGGCGCGACCTTGGTCCTGACGTGCACGAAAGGCAACGTCGCGGGCTCCGACGCGTACATGAGCTACCGGGCTCGTCGTTGTCTGTCCGCGCTCCAAGGCGTGGTGGGATCTTGAACCGTCGCTACTCGCACTTCTACGCCTTGCGCCAGCGCCTCAAGGAGTTTTGCGACCGCAGGCCACGCGGCGCTTCAAAACGTCGTTGGA